CCGGTGAGATTTGAACCACTGAACTGCTGAACTAGCAGTCAGCTGAAGTGGCCTGCAGTACTGCACTCTACCCACTGCGCCACCTCGGCTCTAATAATATCCAGTACTTACATTCTTAGTACTTACACGCTTTTCTAATCTTCAGGACCTTAAATACTGACCTAATCACACTGAAAGCCTGGAAGTAATGGACTGTTTTTGTTTGCCTTATCTGGGAATTAATAGGAATCTAGCTGACCCAAGTGATAAGATTTGGAATACATAGTTTCTTTTATAGACAATATGCATTAGAATCATCATTTGCAAATGTTCCTATATTCATTACTTGAGACACTTTCTTGTAGCAATATATCTATACTATATTGATGTAGTTACCTTTGATAGTAGAATCTGTCAGTCTTAAAAGAGAAAAATGATCCTAGCCTAACATCTAAGAAACTATTCTTCCCACTACAACTAAAAAAAGAGTTAAAGAACAACTCTTGTGGCTATAAAGTTCTAAGATCTGTTTCCTGTGAGTTTTTTTATTTTAATGAAGACAAAAGGACATGTTTTAATACCTTGCAACAAGTATGTTTTGCCTGTATTGTTTCTCCTAGGAAATTTAATTGTATCTTGTAACTCTTACTGAGGAAATAACCCACCGGACCATTCCCTTTCAGGATAAACAATATTATGCAAAGCACAGAAAAGTGGTGAAATGTAATGGACAAAGAAAATTAAAGGCAGAAAACGATTTAAAAAGTAATACAGATTTATTATTTTATGCCAACACTTTTCAATATATCTCTCCATGCTTATCTAACCTTGCAAAGCTTTCTAGTTTCCATTCATGTACTATTTTATACATTGTCTTTTGCTCTTCAAATTTCTAATTCTTCATATTTCTAATTCTCTCTTTCTGAAGAACCAACTCCATTCAACCAAGGTTCCATGTCTTTCTGGTCTTAATGGAAGTTCTCCTGCTAAGTCAGTGATGGCTAACATTTTCCGGAGTGAGTGCCCAAAGCACATAAGTGTATGCGTGAATGCGTGTGCACATGCCCGAACCCCCAAAATGCAAAGTGCACGTGATCCCCATGCATGTGCCCCACCCTGTGCATGTGTGTGCGCCCATCACATGCCCCTCTGCATGCGCCCCCCACAGTCTTTCACTATATTCTCACTGTACTGATAGGACTATTCTACTTTTTAAAAAAATAAAAAACCTCAAACCTTGGAACATTAGACCAACCCATTCTCATATTTATATCATCTTAAAAGTATTGTGAATTACCTCCACTGATCAGAATATGCAGTTTTTGAGGGAAGATCCTTCCTTGCCCATTCTATGAGAGATAAGCTACTTCAACTCTATCTTACCAGATCTAAAGGCAGTCTTTCACCCTGCTTTATTGTCACAGTATTGAAGGAGTGGTATTTATGTCTGCTCCTCAAAAGTTCTGGCTGGTGCAACATCCCTGCAATTACATAGCTGCAACCTTTACTAGTTTCCTACAATCAACGTCAATTGTGAAGGCAGGAAATTGCAAATGGTGACTTTATGACATCCTCGCTAAACGACAACATGGGATTCGCTTAAAAAGATACTTTTTAAATAAATCCTTTCAATAAACAAAATTTATAATTACCATTTATTTTTCATTGTATAGCCAATTTTATGTCATTAACACTTTGCCTTTGAATCAGGGGTTCCAAAAATGTAATTAACAGATTCTGCAGCCTGAAAGAGTTGGAAAACTTGGAAAATCATACTTTCAAGCACATATGAATGACTAACTCCTTTTTTCTCCATTTTTCTCTGTAAATCTTTTAGAACTTTACTTTAGAGTAAGTTCTTTCTGAGGCATTTCTGTAAAGAAAATCTCTTAACAATTTTGTGAATCTGTTCATATTCTGTTAAAAGATAATATTTCCTTATTATTTAATAATTTATAAATATAAAATATAAAATATGTAATAATTTATAAATATTTATTAATATTAAAATAATTTAATAATTATTTTCCTTATTATTTATTATTTAAATAACCAATTGTAATACACTCTTATACCTTATTTATATAGCTTAAAACTATTGGAACATTGATACTGATACCGTGTACAATATATTTCACTGTTGCCAGCTGAAAAGTTAAATACTCTTATAATTACAGCATCGGCCATTTTGAGATAACTATTTCTATTACATTGCTCTGCCTCCAGGCAATTACATTTTTATTTTGGTAAAAAATATTGCACACAACACACACACATACATCTTAACTTTAAATTATGACAAAAAGTACATAAGAAGTACATAACATCTTATCCTGATATTTTCATTGATTCATGTTACATGCTATTTTGTCCAATACAGACCTATTGCCTCCCTCCACCCTCTCACATTAAAATTTCTCATGAATTCTTCCTTCTCTAACCACTCAGTTTTAGAATTGGGAGGACATTACCTTCATTTAACTGTGGGAAAAGAATAGGTTTAACACTCTTAAGCATAGATCTTAGAATGTAACAATATTTGATCTCCTAAAACCCACTCCATATCAACTGGAATCATATAGCACTTTTTACTATTAAAACATTTAATGTAAGTTCACTAAAAAGGTAAATGTAAAGATTTCTCTATCCAGTCATGTCCAACTCTAGGGGGAAGTGCTCACTATAACGAGTAGTGCTCATCTCCATTTTTTAGCTGAGGGACCCAGCATTGTCCTAAGACATTTCTGTGATCATGTATCCAGCATGACTACGCACAGAGGCACACTGAATGCTGTTACCTTCCCACCCAAGTGGTGGTACTTATTTATCTATTTGCATTTGCATGCTTTCAAAATGCTAGATGAGCAGGAGGTGGGATAAGGATGGGAGCTCACCCCATCATGCACTGCTCAGGTCTCAAACCTGGACTGTCAGCTTTCCAGGTGACAAGCTCAGTGTCTATAACTGTTGAGCCCTCACTTCCTCTGAGTGTATTAAATGCAGAAATAAACTCTGCCACATTATAAATGAACATTTGAAAATGCATCTTCAATTTAGACATTTTAAAAATTAAGAACAGTACCTGATTTAGCATAGCACTCACTTTCCATTTAATTTATTAAGTGTACAACTTTTAGAAGGTATTGCACTTAATTAAAATCAAATGAATGTATAAATACAATCAATCTTTCTCATTTTTATTTTAACCAATGCACTAAACCTTTACCCATATATTTAAGTTCAGTAGTTTTTTCTTATTTTCAGCTAAGGAAATAAAAAAAGAATGTCACTTGCTAAGATAGTGCCTTGCTTTAAATATCCTCAATTCTGATATGTGGATAACATTAAGTCATCAGTTGCTTGTCACCTAGAAGCATTTTTTTTAATAAAAGAACATAACCTTTTCTGACCATATATTGGATCACACCGTTTGATGGTAGAGTGAAAATGAAAATGTTTAGCCAGACTTAGAATAAATGTTCTGATATTCTATGAAATGCTAGTTAATGACTAGTTTTGATTGGTCAAGAGTTAAAATGATATTCAGGGAAGAAATATGGACTAGGAAAATAGAATCATTCCAAGTACATTTTGCTCAAATGTGTAAAGCTTTAGTTTAGCTTACTTTGTTATCATTGCACATTGCAAATTAAATGCCTTCTTCAGTGTACATTATAACTATAAAAATAAAAACACAAACATTCATCCTTTACTTTCTATATAATTGATACTGCACTATACTATAAAATTCAATATGGTTACTGCCCTAGGATAGAAGCTGTTTTTCCGTCTATTTGTTTTTTTTAAAATTAACCTGTACAATCTGCCAGTTGGTAATAGTTCAAGAAAAGGGTGCCCAGGATGAATTATACATGCATACATGATGTAAGCCAAAGTGGATAAGAAATATCTATCCTATATACAGGCACAAGATGTGTGTGTGAGGGGGAGGGGGATGATTCAGAACTGTTTGATGTGATGGAGCCAGTCTTTTTTCTATTTACCCAAAAGTTTTAGCTACCTCTTGATAAGACTGATTTGGTATCAAATTAGAGAAAACATTCTGATGGGGAAAAAAACCCCAGTAAAGATACTGTATACGTGTCTGTCCCAATTTAAGAGTCGCATAAAAGAGAAAAACTTATTTAGGCCCCTCCAGGCTGCTTAAAACAATTCCCCACTGCCTACCTAGTTTCTGGTGTACAGAAAGCAAACACTTCAATGCGGAAGAGAGCCATTCGGTTGGTTCCGGCCTAAACGGACCAATTGAGAACACGTCCCCAATCTTCCCCAACCCAGCAGCCTGGAAACAGTCCAAGCCTGGCAAAGCTGTCAAGTGAACCTCACCCCACCGCATTCTCCCCGTCTTCCCATTGACCCGAATAAAGCCTTTTTTTCCAGAAGCGAGTTCAAGATTCAGCTCTTCACGTCCGCAAGCCCCCCCCCCTCCCCAAACCCCGACCCTCCATCTCTCCTTCCTGCCAGAATAGGATGCCGTATCGCGCAACCCTGTCACCGCGCCCTCGGCCGCTTCCTCCCCTCAGCTCAAGCAACCCTGGGGATCAGCCTCAGAATAACCCAGGGCATCAGCCCAACCCGGACCTTTCCTCGGACTGCCACAACCAAGATCAGGCGGGGGGGGGGGACCGGCCTGGAAGGCGCGGCCTGCTTTCCCTCCTCCAACACAGGCCGCAACGCCGAGACAGGTAGGAGGCGGAGGGCCAACCAGCGCCACCGCCTTCTTCTTCCCACTCCCCACATGGACACAAGCATCTCCGGCCCGTCTCTCGCCCAGCCTTCGGCGGCCTCCAAACTCCGGACGCCGCCACTTACCCGCTTCCCAAGCCAAAGGCCGAGAGGGCACCACCAGCGGCAGTCGCAACACACACACGCACATACACACAGAGACGTTCTCCGGACTGAAAGCTACCCGAGCCAATCCAGCCCGCGGCCTGGGCAACGCCGACCAATCCCGGCTCTCACCTAGCCGACAGGGTCCAATCGAGGAGGAACATAAGACAGAGATTGGATGGAACAGCCCGGCTCTCTGTGGGCTGGGGCTGGGGGGGTTGGAGGTTGCGGATGTCTATCCCCACCGCCTTTCCCGGGCCGTCGCCGCATCTGCGACTCCACCTATTCGGAGTGATGCACAGCGCCGTTGTGTGCTCTCCTCTCGGCAGAGCGCGCAATTCTCTTTTCGCCTCCCCCTCCCGCTCTCCGGGACGTCTAGAGAGAATGGGCTGCTTTTGCTGTCATCTCAGCCAGAATCGCAGAACCGAAAGGGGCCATTTTGCCCAGTCCCTGCGAAATGCAAAATACAGCTTAAAAGAGAGCCCGCTGTCCTGCATTGGAAAACCCTCCATCTGCCTAAGGCTCCACTGTCAAGTTCCTCATTAGGAAGTTTGCCTTGGTATCTAATTTGAGTCCGCCTTTTTATAAATATTAATAATAATTAAAAAAAACCACTATTCCGTGGCCAGCTCTCTGGGAAATAAAGAACATGTTGTATTCTATCTGTGTGATTCTTTTTCAGGTATTTGGGGAGCGCTGCCTTCTTTCCCCTCCGTGTTCTCAATCAGGCCATCTTGACCAATAAGAGTTTTTTCATTTTCCAGCAGCAAATTTTCCGGGGACTTAGGCAGAGGTTTTTCCGATGCCCTCGCGTCAAACAACAGAAACTAATCTATACAAAAAGCAATAACATATCACCGGAATCCACTGCTACAACTCAGGCGTAGATTATTTTTGAATATTTTGGCTAGCTTCCACCCCTCATGCCTCAAATGTTTAACGTCTTGATAATTTTTACATCCTGGTGTATAATGAGAAATACATAGAATGTTATGCAACTATCAGCCTAAACAGTCCTCTAGATTTAAGTCCCAAATAATGATAAAAATAGAAGCCACATAACTTAAAAGTTCTAACCAAGTTTTTAAAGTGTCCAGTACACATGAATATGTTTTCATATAGATAGTTTGTGCATGGTGATTTTTATTTAAATATGTCAGTGATCAAATAAGTCTTAATTTTAAAATCAGGCAGCTTTACATGTCAGTAGGGAAGAGACTTAAAAGAAAATTTCCTTCCCTTAACACCTAATTTAGCTTATAGTAAGAATGCATAGTCAGGAAGAATCACTTTATATAGATTAATTTTCTGCCTGTAACTAGGACATCTGAAATAGACACTGTGGCTTTGAAAGTATAAAACTCATAGAAGGTTGAAAGGCATTTTTCTTCTAGTATAAAATAATGGCAATGAGAAAACTGATCAATTCATCACATCATGGAAAAACAAGTATCACCCTGATGTTTCTAAGGGATATATAAATTGCCTTGTAGTAGGTCAAATTATTTAACCATGGAGGAAGCTCTCTGGTCAATATTGTTTAACATTAGTGTTGCAATCTGATGTTTGTTTTATTAGAGATCCAAAGATTACACTGCAGACCTACATGCAAAACAATTTTAGTCTATAACTAAGGTATCAAAATAGCTATAAAACATGATGGTATTGCAACAATACCATAATATTTCCTTGCTACTGCACTTACTTTGTTTTCATAACATCTACATAAGTAAGGGAATAGCAAATATAGTTTTTGTTTAGTTCAGATACAGTATGTAGAATTAGAAGAAGACATAAAAAAAAGATAAGAAACATTTTGCTCTCATTTCTCTGCAGCTGAATGCTATTTATCAAATTTATAATAAAATTGATGCCTTCATTGATTCAGGTTCACTTCTGGTAATTCGTGTATACAATCATAAGAGTTTTCTTGGCAATAAAGTAGAAATGGTTTGCCAGTCAACCTTATAGTCCTGGTACTCCCAAGAGTTGTTTAATTCCAACTATTAATATGATCTGATCTCATTTCAGACATTTGTACAAGACCATCTAATTGGCAGAGAAATAGCTTGTGTTTCAGGAAGAGATAAATGGATGAATTTGTTAAACCTAACCCACCATGAAAGCAACTTCATATTTTCCTGTTCCAGTTTTAAGGTGATGTTTCCTGCCTTTAGCCAATAGAAACCTAGCTATTTGGATAATTTGTATGTATTGCCTTGGGTAAAGTTAGGAATGAGAACCTGCCCTGCTTTTATTGGCTTCCTAAGGCTGCTGCAGGCATGTATATACCCCTCAATCTCTGGTTAGTGTTTCCCAGATCCATATGCCCTTGGGCAGATGTGAGGGGAAAGGAAGTAGGTTTTTTTTACTTCTTTACTCACCAACATCCCTAATAAAGCTGTCCCATCCACTATTAGCACTGCTAGATACATCAAAAACATGCAACACCAAGTCTTATGCGGTCAGTTCTCTGATCCCAGTCAACTGGGAAGAAGTTAATGTTGCTGGATTGTGCAAATAGAACAGTTGGTAGATCAGTGGGTAGAAAATGCATTTGGAGTGTACAGCTGATTACATAAACATCAACATGAATGTTAGCATTAAGCTTTCCCCCATACATTATATGGAGAAAGATGCATAGAATAAATCTAATGGCAAAGAAAAACATTTGGATTAAATTTTAAAATACACATTTTAATTTTAAGAGGTCTTTAAAAATGAAGGCAAAGGAAAGGCATACATGAATACATTTATAATCACTTTATTTATCAAAAAAGTGAATTTTCACATATTTAAACACAAGAGCATAGAAAGAAGTGGTTAGTTAATTAGGGCATCCCTGCATTTTCTGACAATTTAATTAGTAGTCGCTGATTGTAGAAAATTTGACAAATGCTGGGCTAAGGCAAAACACATATTATTTACCCTTGGGAATATATAACTTGATGCCCAAGGCCACTCGTGCTCCTAAAAACTGTGGTGCAGCCTCTAAAAGTTGACACCAATTTAAATACATGGGGTATAACATTTTAATGATATTTGATTGAATTATTATTTTGGACTATTTGTATTTGGTGTGGGACATTCACCTCATAATCAAGTATTTCAAGAAGAATCTTCCTCAAGCAGATATTTTACATTTCAGTTACAAAAATATGCAGCCACATAAGAAAAAGATTTGAAAGCTGTAAATGAGTAGCTTCATCCTGACCGTAGCAACTCTTGAATTGTAATTAACTTGCAGAGAAAACAAAGAGAGAGGGAGAGGGAGGGGGAGAGAGACAAAGGGAGAAAGAGGTGAGTTGGTGAAAGGTAAAACTGATAAGACAAAATAGTCTGAAAACAGCAAATATGTGAATATAATTTTAATCATTACACTATGAGATCATATCAGTTCTAATTCTGTTTGTGGGATGAACAAATACATTATTGAGAGACCGCCTGCTGCCAATTACCTCCAATAGACCAATTAGATCCCACAGATTAGGCCTCCTCCGAATTTCATCCACTGGCCAATGCTGACTGGCGACCACCCGGAGGAGGGCCTTCTCTGTGGCTGCTCCGGCCCTCTGGAACGAGCTCCCCGTGGAGATTCCAGGCCTTCTGCAAAGCCCTTAAAACCTGGCTGTTCCGACAGGCCTGGGGCTAATGAGCTTTTGTCCCCTCTCGAATGGTATGGTTGTTGTGTGCTTTTAAATTGTGGTATTGCTTTGTTTGTGTTTTTTTTCTTTTCCTTAGTCCCCTTCGGGGAAAAGGGCAGCATAGAAATATAATAAATTCAATTCGATTCAATTATTCAAAAATTGACCAAATAAAACAAAAGGTAATACTAATATGTCAAAACAGAAAAAAATGGATGGTGGTTATAGAAAAATTGAATTGTAGGCTTTGGGGGGGGGGGGGGCTTGGAGTTCAATATAAAAAAACTGAAAAGTATTTGTTAATATCTCTGGTTTATAAATATAGCCAAATAGCCAAAGTCTTAGAAACCCAAATCATGTCTATTCTTCAAAAATATCTGTTTTTCAGAAAAATAAGTATATTCTTTTGAATCACTCCTTTTATATCTCCATGCATCAACAAGCTGCAAATAATCAATTAAATTAAAGTCTTTTGTATTTTTCCTTCTCTTCTATCTTCAATTTTTCCTTCTCTTGTACCGTTTGCTTTTTTGTTTCTTTTTTCTTTACTTTTTATTAGTCTGTGTTAGTTTTAATATCCTTGTGTAAGTTTTAATAAAATTATGCATATAAAGAGGCACAAAAATATGCATGAATTGGATATATGTTAAAACAAAAATAATTACCTCTGGTCACAAATGTTTTATTTAAAAGAACTCCAAAACACATGAAAATTACCTATGTGAAGTCATTTCTAAAATACTAGATAAATGGATATCCTACTAATTAAAGCTACCCTCAAAATTATAATAGCTTTAATAACTGAGAAAAGTTTAAAAATAAAATACAGGAATTAACAAAATGTGTAGGGAATTGTGAGGTAATTTATGTATAGAAAAGCTAACTAAGTGTATAAATGAAATGTGTATAGAAGATAATGTAAAACATCAGACAAACTTAACTGGGGAAGTTTTATTGTTGGTGCTCCATATGTTTTGTATTATCCATGTCATAGCAACCAAACCAGTGGTAAAATGCAAAAATGTTCCCTACTGGTTCTGTGGGTGTGGCTTGGTTGGCGTGGCTTGGTGGCCATGTGACTCGGCGGGCCACAAGCAGGAACCTCAGAGTCACAGAGAGTTCAAAAAACCAACTATCACACTTTACACAAAAATAACACAAAAGCTACACAACTGACGCACACACAATGCAAAAGCAGTTGGACTTCACACACAAAAAAAGTTTCCCACAATCGCACAGCACAGCTGATTGTCACAGCTCATCGTTGCAACCTTTTAAAAACTTCTTTAAAGCATTTTTTTACTACGTAGTAAAAAACTGCTTAAAAAAGTAAAAACAAATCTGACAATCAACTGTGTGATGATCAGCTGTGCCGCGCAATAATTGGAACCTTTTTTTTCTTTTTTAAAGCATTT